TCTATAAATGATATCATTCTTCCGCATGACATGAATATTAGATAAGTTATAAAATATACGACAGAGAAATGAATGACATTTAAAATACCTTGAAATTCAAGACCGTGTCGTTGTTTGCAGTACTCTTTTATCTTCGGGTAAACGTTTTCCATCAGAGCATTCCTCTCGAGTGACATATCTTTTTATAAGACAATGTTTTCAGTGCATTGATATTGCAATTAATTAATGCAATTGTTAACTACCAGTAAATGTAGAGCTCGTGAATATTCTCACAATTTGAGAGTTAAGAGCGGGTAAATTGTTAAGACGACCGGCAAATACATTGTCTGTGATTCTGTCATCCATTTGTTAGAATAGTTTTATTCAAATATTTAAGTCATATATGATATAAGACTTGTTATACTTTTATGTTATAACATAATTGTGTGATAAATTCCAATAATATAACTCTAACTCTATTTTCATTTTTATGGATTAACATAAAATATACTCGCATTTAATTGTTACTAAACATTACATTTTAATACACAAAACAATGTTTTCCTGGAAACCAATTCGTAATCAATCATATAATTTAATCAATAAATGCTTAAATATTATTTTTAAACATATAGTTTATATAATGTTATCATTTAATTTATTCATTAAATAATTAATACAATTAAATCTTTAATAGTATTTATGATAAAACATATAAAGATAAAGATTATTATGACATTTTATTTTTAGAATTTGATTAATTTAAATGGCATTTGAATATTTACATACAATTTAGTACAAAATTGTATAAAATTGTTATGTATTATAAACATTGTTAAAGTATAAGGATTAAAATTATGATCAACATTAAATTAAATTGTATATTATTTATATTAAATAATTCAGATTTACATAATTGTAATACAGGACATATAAATATATAATTATAAAGTTTTATACCTTTATATTTGTATTTAACTATAGATTTGTGTTGCAAACTAAAAATAGTTTGAAGTTGTAATGAATTTAATGATTGGGTTTATTAATGAGTTAATTAATAGTTATCTACAAAAATTGTGTTCAAACTAATGAAATGATATCTGAAACGACAATAACAGGTGTGAGTTAATACACTTCAATTGCAAACACTTTAAAACAGGACAAACTAAACGTTTAAACAGTTTTATTCCCAAAAAAGCAATAAATCAATTGATTTATTTGTTCCACAAAATAGAGAAACGCTTCAAAAATAGATAGCAATTGTTTGAAATCAACAAATGATTGATTGTGTGTCGCTTTCAGAGACACATTTGTTTCAATTCTTATCGAAAGTTAAATCTATTACTGAATTGGAGTCAATCGGGAAATTGCTGTCGAGTGGAGAATCATATCAAGAAAAATGATTGAATGACGAGAGAGAAAGTGATTCAAAATACATTGTGAAAGAAAAGTCCGACAACTTATACATTGTATTACATATACGGTATATATTGGGAAAAGTTGGTAAAAATTGGCGCAACCGATGTCTCGATTAATCACAAGCCGTGAGTTATTAACAGGTGATCACAAGTGTTGCCTTCAAATTATTATTACTGTCCCCTTTCTCTCTCTTTTCAGTTACTCTTTGTCTTTCAATTCATTGAGCATTTTATTTGTTTAAATCAATTGAATACCAATTTTCATTGCGTAAAAGTTGTAACGATATGAGCGACACGTTTGCTGTTAATTCGTGAATTGGTATGAAATTGCGGCAGAAATGTATGCATCGATTATATATCTGTCGTATATTAAAATATAATTAAATATAAATTATATTATAATAATATCATTAATTGAGAAGTGTTTGTAAAAATGGATATAATTGTTGACTAAAAGCTTCTTGACTAACATTATTATAAAGATATTAAACAATTACTGTTTACTTAAACACTTCAAACATTAGATAAGAGATTGAATTCTATGGAAAAGATGTGTTCGTCAGCTATCTATTGATATAAAACCTCTGAACTTGTCCTACAGTTATAACTCCCATAGAAATACTATAAGTTCTTATAACTTGAAAGTTAATTATTTTCAATTTCTAATACAATTTACTGTTATATTTGCTGTTCAATCCATACTTTCAAACACTTTACGTTTAATGTTACGACCGCTCAGACTATGATATCTATTACTTTTTTGGAGTCGTTTTTATTATATCGAAACACATGGGTCTCACTTATGAGCGCATTGTTAACGGCTTTACTGTTATTTGGTGAGTAATTTATTGATTAGTATTTTATGTTATTTTTTGCCACAACTAATTAAATCATAAAATATTTAGTATTAAAATTTATTTAATGTTTTGTTTTACAACAAAAGGTAATTTATAATCAATTAATTCTATGCTTACATTAATTACTTACACAATATTTAGAATTTCTAAATTAGAAATAAAGATAGTTTTAACAGCATTTTTGAAACAAAATTACTTCATTATAGAATAAACTTGTATAATTATATTTGCTATATATTGCCTTATTTATAATTATATTATATATTTATTCATTTTGAAATTCATTTTCAATAATTAATTAATTTTATTAAATATTGAAATTCAAAGTCCATTATATTATAATTGATTTAATGTTGCGCTAGATTTAAATATTTTTAGACTAAAATGCATTGCTTTTTAATACAAAAGAAAGTCAAATACTGTATACAGTATACTATTGTACTTTGTAATGTTAAATATTTCACCAAATCATAAGATTTTTAATGCTATTTCTACTATAGCTGTCTTTCAAAAATTAGTTATTCGTGTAGTTGTTATGTATTTTATATAATCAATCACTGAATCTCTTTAAATATGAGTGAATCAAATGAGTGTTAAGTGTAAAATCAAATCAAATAAAGTATATATTTATATGAAAAGCAATTGCATTAAAGTAATTATAAGAAGTTATCTGATATGAAAATTCTGAGATTTCAGGTGGAGTTCGCAATATATGACAGAAAAAAGTGATAAATACTTTGGCCAATGAATTCTCAAATCACGTAATGTATGCTATTTTTGATAATTTTTTAGTCTTTTTTATGCATTTATTTCATTAAAAGCATACAATTTGATGTAAAAGATTGAATGAATATAAAGTATAACAAAATTCTCACTAACAATGTATTGGGGAAAATGTCTTGAGATATACTGTACAAACTCTTCCGCAGTCTATTGCATGTCTTCCTATTTATTTTAATCAAGTTTTTTGCCAAACATAACATAAAATAGGTTAAGAGTAATATTATGATAATTTTGCTGAAATGAATTTAACAATTAATCTCAGATTCGAGATATGCTATGAATTTGTAGATGACTTACAAATTGCTGTATAATTTGAATCAAACATTATATTAAGTAATATAAAGAAAAGCGATTTAGAAGACAGAGGTTTAATGTGATTATACGATACAACAGAACTTTATTACTAAAAAAATGAAAAGAGTCTAACATTTGGCGAATGTATTAAAAGTTTGATACATTGAGGCCTACAATATGTATTGAAGCCTAGGGTGGGGACCATTAAAAGTCATACGAAATCAATCACATAATGTAAGACAAAATATCGTCACTAAATTTCTCTACGCTTTTCGGCACTAATAATGGCAGCGAATGTTATATAATATAAATAATCTTAATCCGTGAAATGGACCACACCCTACACCCCACCACCCCTTACACTGCCTTTTCATTCAAATTCATGCACAATACTCTTCTGTCCACTTCCCTAACAATCGATAATAGGTTTTAAATATTGAATATTTAGCACTTTTTCCTCCATAAGTCTAATGTTCGCCAGCAATAGACGATAGACTACAACATTTCATCAACGCTTATATAATAAAACCCTTAATTCAATGATAAAAACGTTTGAATCCTTATTTTAATAACTAATTTAGTCTAATTTGTTAAACAGTGATTAAAATAATGATGAAATATTTTATAAAATATAAATTAAATGACAATTCTGTTACTATTCTTATAACCAATTGTCGCAATTCTGTGGCAAAATATGTGATCAAACAAAAAGTTTACATAAATCTGTTAATGGCTTTTATGTGTTGAAAAATGAAACAAAAGTAATGATTTTGCATTATTAAAATTAAATGAAGAGAATATGTATCGCCTTTTAATAGTGAGAGCGAAAAAACAAAGCGTAAGAACAAAGAGTTAACATTAATTGAGAAAATGTATAGATTTTAGGGAAAAGAAGGAGAAGAAAAATGTTGTCAAATGAATCGTTGGATTACAATAGCTTTGATCTATTATGACAGGTGTCAAGAGATGCACCTGCGGTGCCATCGGCTTCACAACATAGTAGAAAATAATTCACATACATGTGTGGCTGTCTCTGTCTCTGCAAACAATTATGACAAAACTTGCGCTTTTTATGTGTTGTGTCGATGAATACAAGAATGAAATAAATTAGTTAACTAATAGTGAAGTCATACACTATTATAACACTTGCAAACATCACATGAATTTACATCTCTTATATGTTTAAATATTATATTGAAAATATTTTTATTTTTTCCTTTGCGTACAGAATTTGAGCACTAATTTGGATGTTTTGGACAATTGTTTGGTTTGGTTAGCGTTTAGAAACTGATAAAACGTTTGGATGGTTTAGATGTAGTCTCGATCGACAGGACATAGCAGTGCACACACTATACACGGGGTGTGGCATTGAAACCAAATAATGCGACCGAACCTATCAAACCTATCAAAGCGACCAAAACCTACCAAACCTATGAATATGATGTGTTTGTCGCGTGTCTCATATCAACTTCATAGACCACAGGCACGCCCTAACATCCCCTTCATTAGTGCCCCATTTGGAGTGCAATACTGTATTGCAATCTCTATTAAAACAACTAAAACATCGTTATATTGAAAGCTATCAAAGCTTTTACTCTGTTGTAGGCATGAGAGACACACAACTGACATAACTTACAGGTAAACTGATCTTCCATACAGTGTTCGCACTCTCATACCAGTGCACCACTCAGTCAGACAGTACTGGAGCACCAGTTCTATCACTTCCTCAGAAAATGTTTGTGCTTTTAGTTTATATACATTTTTATTAGTGATTTCCATTCATTCACTATTCAAACAACATATGTGTCTAAGCTTTTCGGTGTAATTGTATGGCAAACAAGAATATAATTCAAACATTTTATGTTTCCTTTCATTTTAATTAAATAATGTTTTGACACAGAATTACAAACGACTTATTCGTTTAGCCTTTGAATCATACTTTTTATGATGCAGTCATGCAGTGCGGAAAAGGTCGATATGCAGGCGTTGGGATCGGTTTTGGCAACACTGAGATGACCAGCGCTGGTGTCGGCATTCATGGCGAGAGTGAGAGTGAGTCCAATGACCCGAATGTCTTAACTTGAGCTTTTCGGGCAAAAGTTGAAGCCATGGTTTGCTTAAACACACAATCTTTTGTTCGTTCGGCTCGAGTTAAGAGCTATTATTCGGGAACAATCGCCTCAATGCCCACTCCATCACTCACTGCCACCGCTATCTCATTGGCCTAACACTCGACCCGTCCGTCCGCCTCCACTCAATACCTCACACTTGGTTTGTAAGAATCAAATTTAATTTGTATTTTCAATTTGTCTCAATATTAATACAACTTTAAAATCAAATTTTCAATTAAATGTGATCTGAATTTTTATTTCGAATTGAAGTGTATATAAAAATCATTAAAAATATGACAAAATGTTAGTTCTGTTTATCTGTACAAAAGATGTTTCTTTTTATTTAAAATATTTAGTTTTAAATAATAATTTTCATCCATTCAATGAATGTCTCTCTTTTACAACATTAGCCGCAATTACAATGTTATTAATAAATAAGCGATAAAACGAACGAAAATCAATCACTAAATAGTTATTTATGTATTATATCTAATGTTATGCTTAATAAATGATAAAAAATTATTGATAATCTTATAGAAAACGAATACAAATTATAACAATCTTTTGTTCAAAATCTCGTAAACCATTCGCCGTCTGAAGTAAGGCATGTGAGCCTAAAGGGAGACAAAAGCAAATAAAACAACCATTAGATCATTAAATGTGTGGACAGAGAGAGAGAGAGAGAGAGAGAGAGAGAGAGAGAGAGATACAGACCTGAGTGAATGTGATGGTGGCATCTCTTGAGATGTATTCCGCGAATTTACAGGCAAACATTCCACAGTCACTGCCATTCATCTGTTGCGGAATGTTTAGCGCCATTTCGAGCACCCATTCACTCGCCTGTAACGACACCTTCTTCTTGTCCACACTTTCACACGACAGCCATTCAAACAACGACTGAACGCAATCCATGTTTGTGCCGCCCATCGAGTCGTAATATTGAATCCGTTTATTCATCAAATCAATTACCTTTAAATACAATTTACAGCAATTACTAAGTGAGGACTGCATTCAAATCGGCAATACATACGGCGAGACACCAATGCATTCCCAAATGGATGGGAATGAATATGTAATCGTTTGCGAAGACATCTAATTTTCGTGTCCATCGCTTCAGACTCTGCGGTCCGTTATCTTTGATCTTCTTATAGAAGAATGTGTTGAAAGCGTGAACTGTCCTGAAGTTGTCGTTTTTGCCCCTCTCGACGATGAGACTCATGTAAAAGTTGATAATCTGTCAACAAATTCAATATTAATAATAAATATGTATTTTCAATAAATTCATGTCAAACCTCGTCGTTAAGCCAATTGAGTCCCTTAAGAGTAACAATGTCTTTGCCGTATATCTCGCCGTATGCCTCGTGTTTAACGAGAAGTACATTTTTGCCGCTCTCTAACGCATTATCAATTTCATTGTCCATTTCAGGTGTGAGTTGTGGCATATCGATGGGTGCGCTCTCTTCGTCCTCATCCTCTTCTTCCACTTCTTCGCTGTCAAAAGTGGTATTGATATCGATATAAGGTATGAATGGATTGAGTTCTGTTCGTGTGATGGGTTTCAGAAGCAGAGGACTCAACAATCTCTCGTCTTTCTCTCGTTTGGCTTTCATTTGATCCCTATTTTGTTCAGATTTCGTGATATCTCTTTCGAGTCTCTCTGTGTCGGCGTTTAAGCTGTTCTTCATATCTTGAATCCATTTGCTGTCCAATAGATTCTTATTCTGTTCCGTTAACGCATTGAATTGTATACTCGTTTCGGGCAACGGATGTGGCGTTTGTGATGATTGAAATGAATAACTCTTTTGGGATTCACTTTTGGTAAAGAGAGCCGACTTTGGGGTCGAATACGATGGATATGAGAACTGATAGCCTTTCACACCGAAAGGCGTTTCATTAGTTGTGTTCAAACGAATGGTAGGATTGGCAGCGATTCCATGGCTTTTGATTCTATCGATTAAACATGTCTTCGCTTTCGTGTCCAATACCTCCACAGAGAATGGAGTCGTTTGTGGAGTTTGAAAGCTCCTGTAATCAGATTTCGATGCCATTGTTTGTGTCAAATCGACCACAATATGGGATCTGTTGACCGCTTTCTTGGGCTTTTGAAATTTGAATTTGGGTCCCAAATGAGTGTCTAAAAGACGTTTGTATTGATTCTTCTCATTCATACGAAATGAATTAAAAAGACGACCGCTTTTCTTATGGGATCTGTTGTCTCGAAAAGAGGTAACCGTCGAGGAGTGGCCACAAGTGTCGCCAAACGCATGTCTTGTCGAGAACGGGTCACTCGCGTTAATCTCGCGCCGATTGTAGACATCGGTTGCGATTGTATTGCTTTCGGACACCAATTGGTTTGACTGATGGGAGGAGTGAGGGGTGGCCTCCGATGGCATCACTCGTGGCTCTGAATTCTTGGGGAAAAGGTTTCCCCAAAAATCTTTCATTATTGTCACTGATTTCGCAATAAACGTTTGATTTCGCTGTGTATCTAATAGTGAAGACATTAATTCAATCAAACAATTACTTATTAAATCAATCGATGGCTCACTTATTATAGCGGAAGCGTTGTCTTCGGCGGTCAATGTATTTCGCGGTCGTTTCGGTGGTAACGACTCATAACTGTTTGATTCAAACAAAAGCATTGCATTCAGTCATTAAAAGTCATGTAATCTAATGTTAAGACCTGTTGTTGTGGTGAAAGTGATTGTATGAGCCGATGGTGTCTTCAGCGCCGGTCATGCCATTCATGCCATCAAACGGTCTCTTCAGTGACTCTCTCTTATTATTGGCGTAAAAGACGTGACTTTTATGCAAACCTAAAGTCATTTGTGGTGTGAAAAGGGCTGCGAAGACAATGTGTTGGGAATGAAGTAGTGATCACTTCCTCTCAACACTCAATGCATTCGCAAATGAAATACAATTCAAAACAAAGCGTGAAATCAAATCAAATTCACATTCAGTTTCTCAATACGTCTTCAATCGCACGACTCGTACCACTCTTTCCACACTAATTACGTCTCGACTCTCAGCACTCGACTGGCGTTAGTGATCTTAAAAATGGCATTTATAAAAATAAATGGCTTGTCGGGCACATTCCCAGTTGGGCATATTCCCGATAAATGCCTTCAAAAATAAATAAATGCCCATCTTAACTAGATGGCAGCACCGCTTGAAAATGTTTTTAACATTAGACGTTGAAAAAATGTAGGGAATTTATAGGGCAGCCAAAATAAACGTCCGATAAATGCCAATAAATGCCCGGCATATTCCCTTTATTTCATTCCCATGCCATAAGCGTCTTAACCCTAACTGGCGTTCGATTCAATGCCAATGAGTCGCGCATTGAGTGCACGTAATGTATGCGTCGTTCAAAGCGTTCGCTCATTGGTTGTCGTGAATAGCGCTCACACTTTGGCCCAAACGAGCGCTCAATTCAATTGGTTTCGAATGCAATGACTATTCGTTCGGAGGTTTGCGTCCAATCGAGTCATAGAAGACTCACTATTTGTGCCGCAAATACTCGCAAACCATGTCTTCGGAAGAATTGGATGAGTTCTTCGACGCCAACGACCACTTCATTCACACCACAGACAACGCGACAGACAATCCACAGACGCTTAGATCGGTTGCAGACGAGACCACCACTGCTGACCATAAGACCGATAGAGAGACAACTCGTGCGAGCGATGGAAGCGATGGAAGTGCTGGCACAGCGAAACCCAAACCCGGTATTCAATGCCAATAATAATGTGTTTTGCAATCAATTAATGGCTTTTGTGTTGTATTCGTGCAGACAATGCGGTCGACAATGAGATGGAAAGCAATCGATTGGAAGTAATGATTGTCAACGAAGACGACATACGGATCAATGCGGACGACTTTTTGCAATCAATTAATGGCTTTTGTGTTGTATTCGTGCAGACAATGCGGTCGACAATGAGATGGAAAGCAATCGATTGGAAGTAATGATTGTCAACGAAGACGACATACGGATCAATGCGGACGACATCGAGATGGCGGCCACCGATAGCGTACAGTTCATGGTTTACGTGATGGCCATTCTTGTGGTCAATTGTAATCAACCACTAAACCAATGATTACGCAAATGAAGTAATAGGTCTCATGTGTTGATGTCTTCGACAGTGTATATCATAAGCTCAACCATTCATTGGATATACAATTATTTGGGAGGAATTGACTGGTCGTTGGCCGACAAGACTCACTTCAATACACATATATTCTTCATGTGTTTAGGCGTTTGTGGCCTCAGTTTGGGTCAGTATTGGTGTCACTGTTTATACCATTGAATGTGACGTTAATGTGATACTGTATTAACGGCAGGAATGTTAACGCATCGTATATTCCGTGGCCTGTCGTCGAGTGCCCTGAAGTGTATGCACACAACGATAACACTGTTTACTGTGGTATTCTTCGTGATCGGCGTCTACGCGGTGTTTGTATCGCTGGATGCCATGCAATGCGTTCACATCTATTCAGTTCACGCCTGTGTCGGACTCATCGCGATTCTGGCCTTTATATTGCAATGGCTTTCGGGACTCATTATATTCCTGTTTCCGCGCTTTGTGTACGAAATCCAAATCCTTTTGACACCGATTCACAACTTCTTGGGACGACTTGTGTTCACAGTGTTCTGCGGAACAGCTATTGTCGGCATTTCTGACAAATTGCGGATAACTGTCACCGATTTGGAGGGTTTGGGACCCATTGACAAAACCAATCGGTCACACATTGATTCGTCAATCATTAGGAGAGAGACGTATACGCACTGGAATATACCCAATGAGGCAATACTCGCGAACGTCATTGCCATCGCATTCCTCCTCAACGCCATTCTCGTTAACTTCATCTCTTCTAATGACACTTACAGACGAAGACTATTACCAGAAGAACAGGGAATTGAAGTGAAAACTAATTTGAAAATTAAATAACTTATAAATATGTTTAATGTATATCTTATAAAAATGTAAACCAATTAAACCGATGGTTATATAATACAAGCGATGAATACATTATTTAATAGAAATAACAATCAATTTATCTCTATAGAGGGAAGAATGAATTTTTTGGTAAACTTTTGAATGACTTTTCAGGTAATAAAATAATATTCAAATCAACCTTGATCATTTTCTGAATTCTATTGCTTTTCAAGCGTTTATTAATTCTATCAAAACTATAGCACAAAACTCGGGGACAATTGAGAATATCACTGGAATTATAGCCCAATTCATACAATAGTGTTATGTTTTGATCCAATTTCTTGGGTTTAATTGTCATAAGACGTGGATATTTATTGAGAAGAGCTTTCATCTGACTTTCATTAAATGACAACTTCTTCATCAAAAACTCTGTTTTATCCGAGTATTTGTCCAAAACATCGTTGTTTTGTCGATATCTCTCTAACAATGGATACCATATGTCTGCTGGACAGCGAAGAACCCACGTTCGGATCGGATAACCACTTTCGTTGCACTCTTGTGTTCGCTGTTTCATTAGCTCAAAGTTGTGGTTAAAAATCCACAAATCATTAATAATGTCTTCATTACAAATTGAATTGTCTTTTAATAAACACATGATTCGTTCAATTCGTTCAAAATCTATTTGAATTAATTGTGAATTTCTTGAGACAAGTGAACAAAAAGTTTGACAATTAATCTCCAAATGAGTGCAAAAGTAATCACATCTGCGGTCAAAATCGCTATACATTGTGACACTCTTTCGGATCCGTTTGCAAAGGGCTTCAAAACGATGCCTTTGGACCAAAAATAGCGACAAATAATACGATTTACCATTAATTATATCATTTATTAAGCGATATTTTTCCAAACACTTGAGACCTGTTTTAAGTGACAATTTATCGGTCATCAAAATCCACGTCCTTTTAGTGGCCATCTCTTCGAAACACAACTCTTTTCGCTCCAGAAGTGAACAAATGTTTTGCAAACTCTTCACGTCTAATGACTTGACGTTTGGATAGTTTTGATAAATGGTCTCAATTTGTGGTAATTGCAGACCAAACGAGTTCTTCAGACATTTGGTCACAAGTTTTTGGTTTTGTTTCTCACTTTTATCGCTCAAACATCTGATCCAAAGATTCAATGAATGTTTACTACAGAGACTTAATCTCTTCGTCCAAACGTTTGCATTCATACAATTATTGTAAAACTTATATAAAATATTTAACAAAACGTAAAGTTTCTGATAAGTTACAAACGTTTGTTATTATTGTTGTTAACAATACGTTAGCTGTACACAAATGTAATATATTTGATGTGTACAATTACGAGCACTTTATTGCAAAACCACTTGTTTTCACATTACATGCAATTCAATGGCAATACATTTGGACCACAAATCAAAACTCTTATCAAATGTAAACATAATTATTGAACACTTTTACGAGGTTTTCATGAATTGTCAAACATTTAAAAAAGTTTATACTTTTAAATGACTTTTTAATTGGGTTTCAATTAATTAAATAAAAGTGTGAATTGAATGGAAAGTCCATTATTTCCTTCCCATGTATTCAGCGATGACTTTGAGTCGGTTTACGAGCCCTCGGAAGACACCTTTGTTTTGATGGATGCCATCGAAAAGGACTTACAACTCATCAAACAAATCAAGTATTGCATCCATTCAGCACTTCCAACCACTCATCATATCAATGCTCTTAACCCTCACATCCATCCCATCAACGCCTCCTCTCTCTCTCTCTCTCTCTCTCTCTATTTGGTGGCCATTAGTCGCAAAGCCGGCATCAGATCCCTAAGAGATCTCAACGAAACACATTTACCGCTTCTTTGTTAATAACATTTTGAATATATTTTATAAATTGTTTTGCATTTCAAAGACTATTCAATGTTTGCAAACAATAATAACAACAATTGTTATGCAATCGACATGTGTTTACATTATATAAACTACACATAAATTACGAGCAGTTTATTGCAGAACCACTTGTTTTCGCATTACATGCAATTCAATGGCAATACATTTGGACCACAAATCAAAACTCTTAGAAAATGTAAACATAATTATTGAACACTTTTACGAGGTTTTCATGAATTGTCAAACATTTAAAAAAGTTTATACTTTTAAATGACTTTTAAATTGGGTTTCAATTAATTAAATAAAAGTGTGAATTGAATGGAAAGTCCATTATTTCCGTCCCATGTATTCAGCGATGACTTTGAGTCGGTTTACGAGCCCTCGGAGGACACCTTTCTGTTGATGGATGCCATAGAAAAGGATTTACAACTCATCAAACAAATCAAGTATTGCATCCATTCATCACTTCAGCACTTCCAACCACTCATCATATCAATGCTCTTAACCCTCGCACCCATCCCATCAACGAATCTCTCTCTCTCTCTCTCTCTCTCTCTCTCTCTCT